GGCTCCGACCAGTCGGGACAAGCTCTCAGCTACCAACTGATCTCCTGGGAAGTGTGGTTTTGTATAAATATATGTGTGCGTAAGTAAGGGGTTACGGTAGAACAAAAAAGAGAATAAAAATGTTTACGCGGTCCGTGGCTCGTTTGTTAGGGTACTGCCGTCCGGCATTTGCCTGGTATTGATAGGAGAAATCACGGAAAACTTTCGATCCGCTAGAATTATCGTCTAGACAGCGACTGAATTTGACACAGCTTCCGAGCTGGAGACGAAAGTCCTACCACTTCTGGAACTCGAACCCCTAGGTCAGAGGTCCTCCTGGTCAGAGGCACTTCAGTGACATCAGTTTATATCTTGAGCCACCTCAGCCGATGTATTTTAATTGTATATTTACATAAATTTATTCACTGGTATTAGCGAAAATTGCAACCCCGAGAAGAAGAATACTATTACAATGGCATTTATTCCACCGATTAGGAATATCACAATTTAAAAAGAATTATTAGAATTACAAAATAGTACCTGCCTTTTGTATTTAATACCAGAGAAGTATTTAATGAATATTTAATACGGTGTGAAGTCACCTCGCACTGCCATCAGAGGATCGAAACGTCGTGGCGTGGATGCGAAGAGAGCCTGGATGTGCTGCCGGGGAAGACAAAGACACGCTGATCTATACGTGACAAAGCATCGACAGTGGCTACAGGAGGACCAGAACGAACAAATTGCCTACCGATCATATTCTAGACATGTTCGATGGGCGATATCTCAGGCGAACGTACAGGCCAGGGAGGCAGTGGTACTCGTCGTTCTTCGCCGAAAGCTTGCACATTCCTCAGCAAATGCGGCCGGGCATTGTCCTGCTGAATTGTGGCATGCGGAGTTGCTAGAAGGAGGGGAAATATCTCGCGCTCTAAAACTTCCCTGATGTAGCGGTTGCTGTTCAAATTGCCCTCAATACGTATGAGTTGAGATCGGACGTTGTAGTCAGTGGCGCCTCAAACCATCACAGTATGTGTCCGCTATGGCGCGGAACAATGCAGGCTGGCAGATTGCAATCCCCATTGTAGCGACGAACACGTACGCGGCCATCGCTGTAGCACAAATTGAAGCGGGACTCGTCTGAAAACACTACATTTTGCTACTCAGCACGCCAGTGAACACGTTCACGTGATAAGTGATACCAAACGTTTATGGTTTCTGTTCAACGGAATTGGACGCAGTGGAATGCGTGCTACCAGTCCAGCCCTCAGCAGACGGCGAACCATCGACGAAGACATCCCAGCACCCGTTGCAGTGCTCCAAAGTCGAGCCAACACTGTGGACGAAGTCGTCCTGTGGGTTATGGCCATGCAGACAAGATGGCGATCATCTCGCGCTACGGTGACATTGTGTGGTCCAGTACCCGCTCGTCGCTGTGTGCGACCTTTCTCTATCCACTGGTTCCACACAAGAATCACTGTCGTAGCAGCGCGCCCCGTTCGAGCCGCAATGTCACGGCACGACATAACCGTTATTTGGAGACCGATCATTCTGCCCCGTGCGAACTAACTCAGATGCTGATATTGCGCCTTTGGCGTCGACGAGGCCAACCGGCACTTGCTTCCACGTTTCCTACGTTTCACGGGACTACATCGACTTGGTGCGGCGTAACACTGACCTGACCTGACCTGTCACACACAGATGGGCGCTGCCGATCCGGTGGCCGAGATCGGCTAAGGCAGTAGTGCCGTAGCGAACTCGGACCGAAGGATCGCGGGTTCGAGTCCCGCCTGGGGCATGGTTGTATTGTGTTTCGTCCTTTCACCCCCTATCATCATCATTATCGTGTCAACCCACAGTTACCATACCGTTACAAGCAATAGTGGTCGCTAATGACCTAGTAGTTGATGCGACCTTAAATAACCAAAAAAAAAAAAAGATGGGCACTCCTAGGCCAACGTGCACGTTATCTCTACGCAAATGTCATAACTTCTCATGGATACGCTGTTCTACAATCCACCGATTTCTGAGCGATTCCCACCAGTCTTTCTGAGTGTTGCAACTTCCACAAACACCAATGTACTTTATTTAGCACTTTAAACTTGGATGAAATATAAAACTCAATTAAAGTGAAATTTGTATACTAATTGATTATATCAAACCATGATAATTTTTATATTTTACTAGTTGAATACTCTGCCCAGATAAATATCACAGTATCATTTCAGTATCATATATATCACAATATCATATATATCACAAGTATCATATATATAT